GGGAGCACGGGGGAGCACGGGGCAGCACGGGGGAGCACGAGGAACATGGGGGAGCACAGGGGAGCACAAGGAACATGGGGGAGCACAGGGCAGCACAGGGGAGCACGGGGCAGCATGGGGGAGCACGGGACAGCACGGGGGAGCACAAGGGACATGGGGGAGCACAGGAGAGCACAGGGCAGCAGAGGGCAGCACGGGGGAGCACAGGGCAGCACAGGGGAGCACGGGGCAGCATGGGGGAGCACAGGGGAGCATGAGGAACATGGGGAGCACAGGGCAGCACAGGGAAGCATGGGGGAGCACGGGGGAGCACAGGGCAGCACGGGGCAGCACGGGGAAGCACAGAGGAGCGCGAGGAACATGGGGGAGCACAGGGCAGCACAGGGCAGCATGGGAGAGCACAGGGGAGCCCGAGGAACATGGGGGAGCACAGGGCAGCACAGAGCAGCACAGGGGAGCACAGGGGAGCACAGGGCAGCACAGGGCAGCACGGGGGAGCACAGGGGAGCACGAGGAACATGGGGGAGCACAGGGCAGCACAGGGCAGCACAGGGCAGCACGGGGCCTGGGGCTTGCAGGTCTGAGTCTAGAGCTACAGGAATATGGGAAGCAGATGCCAGGGTGTGGCTTGCGGATCTTTGTTCGGTTGACCTTCAGGGACTTGGTGCCTGCTGGGGCTTCCACTCCTCCTCTGGCACCCAGCCAGCCTCTGCAGGAACAGACTTCCAGAGACACAGGGAAAGACGCAGAGCGGCGGAGGGTTGTAGCAGGGAAGCACATTTGTAAGATCACATCCACTCAAGCCCACACTGAAGGGCAAACTGCAGGCCTGTCCTCCCGGGAGCACTCACTGCAGAGTCTGGTGGCACAACTGCCAGGGGCGGGGGGGGGGGAGGAGACATGTTCTCACCCCCAGCCAAGCAGAGGCAGCCACACAGCAGTAAATAAGGCAACGAAACACATGGAGCCAGGAGGAGTCTCACCTGCAGCCTGGGTGTGGGGGGGGGGTCTTACCTGCAGGCTGGGAGGAGTCTCACCTGCATCCTGGGGGAGAGTCTCACCTGCAGCCTGGGAGGAGTCTCACCTGCATCCTGGCGGGGAGTCTCACCTGCAGCCTGGGGGAGATTCTCACTTACAGCCTGGGGGAGAGTCTCACCGCCTGGGGAGAGTCTCACCTGCAGCCTGGGGGGGTCTCACCTGCAGCCTGGGAGGGGTCTCACCCTGAGCCCTGGGGGAGAGTCTCACCTGCAGCCTGGGGGG